GGAAATTATCAAACAATATCATTACTATCACACACAAGTAAAATTTTGCTGAAGATCATTCAAAAGCAGCTGCAGCAGCACATGGACAGAGAACTGCCAGAAATTCAAACCAGATTCAGAAGAGGACATGGAACAAGGGATATCAGAGCTGATGTCAGATAGATCCTGGCTGAAAGCAGAGAATACCAGAAAGATGTTTACCTGTGGTTTACTGACTAGGCAAAAGCATTTGACTGTGTGGATCACAACAAATTATAGACAACATTTCGAAGAATGGGAATTCCAGAACACTTAATTGTGCTCACGAGGAACCTGTACATAAATCAAGAGGTAGTCTTTCAAACAGAACAAGGGGATACTCCGTGGTTTAAAGTCAGGAAAGGTGTGCATCAGGGTTGTATCCTTTCACCATACCTATTCAATCTGTATGCTGAGCAAGTAATCTGAGAAGCTGGACTATATGAAGAAAAACAGGGCATCAGGACTGGAGGAAGACTCGTTAACAACTTGCGTTATGCAGATGACACAACCTTGCCTGCTGTAAGTGAAGAGGACTTGAAGCACTCACTGATGAAGATCAAAGACCACAGCCTGCAGTATGGATTACACCTCAACATAGAGAAAACAAAAATCCTCACAGCTGGACCAATAAGCAACATTATGATAAACAGAGAAAAGACAGAAGTTGTCAAGGAGTTCATTTTACTTGGATCCACAATCAACACCCATCAAAGCAGCAATCAAGAAATCAAAAGACACGTTGCATTAGGCAAATCTGCTGCAAAAGACTTCTTTAAAGTGTTGAAAAGCAAAGATGTCACCTTGAAGACTAAGCTGCGCCTGACCCAAGCCATGTGTTTTCAATCGCCTCATATGCCTGTGAAAGCTGGACAATGAATAAGGAAGACCAAAGAAGAACTGATGCCTTTGAACTGTGGTGTTGGCAAAGAATACTGAATATACCATGGACTGTCAAAGAACGAATAAATCTGTCTTGGAAGAAGTACGACCAGAATGCTCCTTAGAAGCGAGGATGGCGAAACTATGTCTCACATACTTTGGACATGTTATTATGAGGGACCAGTCCCTGGAGAAGGACATCATGATTGGTAAAGAAGAGGGTCAGCAAAAAAGAGGAAGATCCTCAATGAAATGGACTGACACAGTGGCTACAACAATGGGCTCAAGGATTGGGAAGATGGCGCAGGACCGGGCAGTGTTTCATTCTGTTGTGGACAGGGTCGCTATGAGCTGGAATCAACTGGAGGGCACCTAACAACAACAACACAACAATTCTATAACATTGTTTCTTTTTCAACACTGGTTTATTAACCCCTCAGAGCAATGTTTCTCAAAGGATAATCTATAGGGATGATAGTAGCTATTACAGAAAAAAGCAAATGTGAGAAATGCTGGAGTATACAGGTTTTTTTTTTTTTTTTTTGGAGGGGCAAGACTTTTCAGAGCCTTTAATATGCCCAGCAGAAATGCCTAAAGCATCTAGAATTTTGTATTTTTGCCGAATCTATTTGCTATCTGAGCCCTTTTTTCACAGAACATCACATGGGACTAGTATTATTTGGCACTCACTCTGGGATAATTCAAGGCATAGTAAAGTGTATTCTGATGCTCTACTTGATACTTTAAAAACATAATGGGAACATCAGATAAACTACGTGTTTTCTTATTTATGGAAAAGAAAACTGAGAAGTACGTATCTAGAAACAACCTATGAAAATTTTTATAACTTAAAACATGAAAAATAGTTCAAAGTAACAAATATTACATACATACCTGGCAGAATTCACACGTAACTTGAATTTCATAAGTCGAACAACCTATCACATCCTTTCTTTCATGGCAAGGATTCTGAAAAAAAGAATAAAAACAATAAAGTGGTCTCACAGTTAAAAATAGTTTTGAGGCGGCCATCTAAGATATTCTACTGAATCACCCCGACTACAGCAAAGGAGAATAAAGAAAACCAAAGATACAGGGGAAAGATTAGTTCAACGACTAATGGACCACAAGTACTACAGCCTCCACCAGAGTGAATCCAGTACAAGTAGGTGATACCTGGCTACCACCAACGACTGCTCTGACAGGGAGCACAACAGAGGGTCCTGGACAGAGCTGGAGAAAAATGTAGAACAAAATTCTAACTCACAGG